TCCCAGCTGTTGCCCAGTGCTGAGGAACAGGTCAAATTCTTAAATGCTCTAGAAAAACAGACTGGCCTGTCAAATCAGCTGGACCCGTCCCTCCTAGCATCTGTACCTAAACTCTCCTTGGCGGAAGAGAATAACGTGCCACCGACTGGCACTGGCGGTGATGACTCCCGCCGATCCTCCGTCTGCACTGAGCCCAGTCAGCCACCCTCACCATCATCGCCGGTGGTCGCATGTATGCGCGGGCTGGTTCGCATTTACGATCTGGGGCTTTTCGCAAATGGCACTTTCCTTTTCCTGTCGACAGCTTTCGTCTTTGTCCAGTTGGCCTACTTTGTACCCTTCGTCTACCTCTTTGGCTACGCTGTCGAAAGTCGGCTCCAACGAGGCGAGACTATGATCATGACTACTGTTATGGGTAAGTCTTCTTTTTAGCTGATCAAGTAAGATATCATTTATAATGACATTACATCGCGTTGACGAACGTTCACTGATCCCCAGGGGAATTCCGCTCTGCCTCGGGGCTTATTCTCGAGCCACATGGCGAGTGGTAAAAGAGAGAGTGGAATGGCCATTTCTGGCTCCTTAACTGTCATCAGCTAACCATACTCAACCCCAAGTGATGCATCACAAGAGGCTCGAAACCGCGATCTTTTGATCAGACTTATTACGCTCTTATCATTAAGCCGTCGGGTTATGCTACTAGCCGCTGTGCGGCTGTTACTGGGGGTCGACAATGAGCCCCAAGGCAGGGAGGGTCAAACGAGTTCCGTAAGGGATCACTGAACATTCGCCAAGGATTGTCAATATTCCCGATCTAAACCGGTAAGACAACGAGCCCGTAACGCAATGGTTAGAGCATTAGACTGTTGATCAAACGGTCGCGGGTTCGATCTTCGGGTGGTGTAATATCGGGAGTTGGGTATGACTGACTGATGACGGCTAATGAAACTGAACTGGTCATTCCACTCTTCCTTGTCTTTGTCGGCAATGCTGTTTAACAGTTATTTTATTACAAGACTCCAGATATCGCCCTTTTCTTGTGGATTTCTAATCAAATCTATAATGTAAATGATTCATCCTGCATTCTTTCACTTTTAACTTTTCCCCTGCGTGTAAATTCAGCGGAGTTTGAAGTCTTTCCATTGGGGTTGAGCGTTTACGGGCCCTGAAAAATGCATGTAAATTTGTAACAGAATTAAACAGGACGCTGCAAGTATAAGTGAATGCACTGCGATAGGTCAGCTTGCCTTCCAAAGGGGACAGCTGAAAATGATCAGTCCTGTGACGATTTGACCAAAGATACCAATTAGGCCCCTATATGCCCTTCAACAGGGTAGGCGGAGGTATGGTGACCAGCATGAGAAGTAGTTTATTGTGATAGTAGATTAGCTCCTCCGCCGAAAGCACTGCCAACTGACGCATTATCAGACACACGATCAGCCCGATGTGTGTTGTGTGTAAAGTTCCTGATGAGTGACACTAGGAGTCAGGGCGCCCCGCTCCTTTTAATCCTCTGGTTATGTGTATCCTGGTGTGTGTGCGTCAAGGGGCCAGGTCTTTTTGTGGTGCACGCAGACGGGTCCGCTGGCATCGTCAGCCAGTGTGCCCACCCCAGCTCAGGCGACCGATCAGCTAGGCGATGGCCTGTTGCTGGCGATGGGGGAGTGAGGTTGACCCTCGTCGCATTTATTTCCTCACTGTAAACATAATTAAGCAGTTTAAGCTATCCGCGGCGTGCTAAAAGCCGTGGCTTGGAGGGCTGCCAAGTGACGGGATAACTTGGACACTGCAGTTGACCCAGTGTGTGTCTTGCCGTGTGCAGTG